CCTGCTGATTTAGGGCAACTCCAGTGTTCCCTCTGAGCTGAGTTCGTGTGAGCTAGCTCACAGTTTTTTGGCCTCCGCCTCACACCTTTTTGCCTTAGCTCAGAAGGGATGGCTCCAGAGCAAACTAATTTATGCAGTAGCCAAATCGCCCGGTCACAACGTTAATGCCAGTAGCTCACAGAGTAGAATTTTTGCTCACAAGACTCCACAGCTTAGAGGGAGCACTGGGCGACTCCGTAGGGTTTTCAAGTCAAGAGATGAACTGAGGTGACTCGGACTTCCTTGTTGGTCTTCCATCCAAGTACTAACCGGGACCAACCTTGCTTACCATCCAAGATCTGATGAGATCAGGCTAACCTGAGCCACCCAGGTCAGAGGAGAATGGTGTCACACCTATCTATTTGCAAGGAAGGTCTACACATCCTTTGTATATTGTCTATCTTGCTCACTGGGCCTCTGTTAGAGGATATTTTAATGTGCGTTGCTCCAGCTTTGTGATATAGCTTGCCTAAGGAATTAAGAATTAAGATTGCTGGGGAAAAGATCAACAACCTCAGATATGCAGACGATACCACTCTAATGGCAGAAAGTGAAGAGGACCTCAAGAGCCTCTTGCTCAGGGTAAAAGAGGAGAGCGCAAAAGTGGGCTTGAAGCTCAACATCAAAAAAACTAAGATCATGGCATCCGGCCCCATCACGCCTTGGCAAATAGAAGGGGAAGTCGTGGAAGTAGTGACAGACTTCACGTTCCTGGGATCCCAGATCACCGCAGACTGTGACTGCAGCCATGAAATTAAAAGACGCCTGCTCCTTGGGAGGAAAGTGATGGCGAACCTAAACAGCATGATAAAAAGTAGAGACATCACCCTGCCAACAAAAATACGCATGGTCCAAGCAATGGTATTCCCAGTAGTCATGTATGGCTGTGAGAGTTGGACTATAAGGAAGGCCGAGTGCCGAAGAATAGATTCTTTTGAACTATGGTGCTGGAGGAGACTCTTGAGAGTCCCTTGGACTGCAAGAAGATCAAATCAGTCAATCCTAAAAGAAATCAACCCTGACTGTTCCCTGGAAGGCCAGATAATGAAACTGAAGCTCAAATACTTTGGCCACCAAATGAGAAGGGAGCACTCACTGGAGAAGACCCTGATGCTGGGAAAGATTGAAGGTCAAAAAAGACGAGGACGGCAAAGGATGAGATGGTTAGACAGTGTCATAGATGCAACAAACATGAAATTGAGCAAACTTCAGAGGACGGCGGAAGACCGGAAGGCCTGGCATGATCTGGTCCATGGGGTCGCGAAGAGTCGGATTCGACTGTGCAACTGAACAACAACAAAGGATATCCATCAGGTCTTTTAGAAAAGCCTTTCAAAGGGGTGTATGCAGAGCTGTATTCTATCTGATACTGTTTTGGACATTTGTTCTGTGCAAAATTTGATCATAATTGTATTTTGTTTGTCTTTTGTATTTGTTTTAAGTATGATTTTTCATGTTTATGCCTTTTGGGATTTTATTGTAAGCTGCCCTGGGCCCTGCCAAGAGAAGGGTGAGGTATCAATATTTCAAATCAGTAAACACATTCCATTTAGGCACAGGTGTGACCTGCAACACACATTTTTAAACAACTTAAAATCGAATGGCAGAAAGTACATTTTGTGCTGCCAAAAAAAGTGAAGGATGCTTAAGCCGCATTAAGCACACAGCTAAACACTTAAGCACCACTGGTTTCAATGGCCCTGAGAAAACTGACCATTTCTGGACCATGTTCAAAACTTTTATAGACGCTCCACACTGGATGTCACATAAGTCTCTGATGTGTGTACACCCTCAGAGAAAAACAGAAACTGAATGTGACATAAATCTTTAAGTACCAATTAACAAAATCTGGTCATCCTTTCCGGATCAGAATCCCCAAACAAACATATAGAAGATGCTTAAAGAAAGTCTGTCTCCATGACTGATGGAATTGCCGCAAGAAGCACTGGCATAACAACAGCCCTGTGTTTGTCGTGTAAAATCTGGAGGTGCCCTTAACACCTTCCGTACAAGTTATGTTCACCAAATGATGGTTGTTGGGATCTAGTTTGTTTTCCAAGTGCTTCAGCTGCAGAAAAACTACATTTTCCTACCAATCAAATGCCAAACATCAAGTGCCAGTTCTTAACTACAATAGGCTGATTAAGTTATAAATAGGAAAGAAAGAATTAGATCATATTGTCCTGATCAGACGGAGAAACAGCTTGAGTATCTTTTCTCGCCAGCCGGAAGCTGGAACCACATCACGCCAACCCCTCTCACGATATGGAGCTGCATAAGACTTTAGGCAAGAGACCGAGCTACTCAGAGTAGAAACAAAGGTCTGGGAGCAGGCTATAACCTTGGACCCTTACCCTGCCTGGTCCACACAAATTCTTAGGCCCCGGGCGCACGGGCTGGATATCGTGGGGCATGACTAATTGCCCCGGCGCAGTTTGATCCGCGATTACACGATCAGATGCGCCGGCGGCACAGCACAGGTCCTTCCCTCAGTGCCAGTGGGTAAACAAGGGACCGGAGGGGAATGCCACGCGCCGGCGCTATCACACCACGGGCATCTGGAGGCAGCCCGTGGCAAACGTTTACTAGTACCTTGGAGGTACTAGTTTTTAAATGCGCATTGTCGGCGGTAAGCCACGGGTGCGCTCCACTTCCCAGATGTTGGGATTTGAACGCGCCCAGATAATCCGCCCACCTTCCGTGCTTCTCCTGCGGCAACTTTGCCGTGTGACCGGGGCCTTAATAAGTTAAATCAGATTGGCCTATTCCCAGAAGTTCTCTTCTATGGAAGCCTATACAAGGCAAGAACAGCTGCTGTGCAGAGACTTCGTGATACCGAATAACAAAATGAAGAAGCTTCACTACCCAAGAATTTCAGAAACATAAAATCTCGGCCTAATTTTACTGCTGCCCCTTGTTTATTTAACATTACCTATGAGCCCTATAGACTGGCCTTTTCCAGAGCCCGTTTTGAGGCACTCCCTGCTGCTGTACTACAAGGTAAATTCACTCGAGTTCCAATGCATGAACGTATATGCCCATGCATGGCTAATATGGTGGAATCAATTACTCATGTCCTATTGTTCTGCAGATTCTATCAGGAGGAACGAGATCATCTTATACTACCCCTTCTGTCTAGATTTAGCCCTCTGCAGTCTTATCTTGACTTTAGGCCAGAAGTCCTTCGTAAATTCCTCCTAGAAGACGTTCAGAGCTCAGTGACTTACGCTGTGGCAAAAATTTGTTGCTTAGCTATTAGGAAACTTATTTTAGCTGAAAATATTGGATGATTCTCTTATTAATATTATTTCATTTTACTAATTTCAGTAATTTTCTCTTGCTAATGTTTTTATACTATTGCTATGTCATTACTGTTTTAATCTTTCTTATGTATGAATTGTACTGTTTTACTGGCTCTTGCTGTAATAGATCAAATCACTTCAAAGGCGGTGTGGAATATATTATATGACTCTCATGTGTCCTACTGGATAGCCACTGATTCAGTATTACCATGGAGGACATCTGTGCAAGGATTCAGACATCTGGAGGGGAGGAGGAGGAGGAGGAGGAGGGGAGATTGGATTTATACCCCGCCCTTCACTTGGAGTCTCAGAGCGGCTTACAAACTCCTTTCCCTTCCCCTTCCCACAACAGACACCCTGTGAGGTAAAAGAAGAAGGAGAAGAGATTGGATTGATACCCCACCCTTCACTACCCAAAGGGGTCTCAGAGCGGCTTACAAACTCCTTCCCCTTCCCCTCCCCACAACAGACACCTTGTGAGGTGGGCGGGGCTGAGAGAACTCTGACACAAACTGCTCTTTTTCAAGGACAGCTGTGCCAGAGCTTGTGACTGACCCAATCTGATTGGACAAATCATTTTTTTAAAACCCCCAAAGGGATATTTTTTATTTTGCATTAACTGCAAACTACAAAGAAAATTAGGGAGGGAAGCTACAACTAAGGATAAAGGAAAGATAACCACACTAAACTAAAAACCCAAGAGGAGGAGATCTTATTTCTGTTCATGTAAATATTAGTACCACAGATTGGACAAATCATTTAACAAGACTCAACATGAAGTACATCAAGTAACCCCAACAACACTTCCCAATACATTCTTATTGATCATAAAAGATCCCCACACTGTTTTAAAAAGCCCACAAAACAACAAAAAGATACCTTAGCTAAGACATAGTGGCAGTTGCCATGGAAAATAAATTGTTTCTTGTCAAATGTAGTTATGTAAAATCCTCGTTCTACATTGCAATTTCCGGAACAGGGCAATGATAAGCAAAACCATTTTCCTCCAGTGCAGGTACTACAAAATCAAAAGAGTATTTTAACTTACAGTAATAGTACAGGGATAGCTATGCTATCTTGAGCCACCGCAGCTCCCTACAAGTGGTTAAGACGCTGAACTGCAGGCTGTGGAAGGTCAGTAGTTCAGCGGTTCAAGACCCGGGTGCCGCAAGACAGGGTGAGCTCCTGTCTCTAGTTCCACCTCCTGCCAACCTAGTAGTTCGAAAGCAAGAAATTGCAAGTAGATAAATAGGTACCACTTCGGTGGGAAGGTAACAGCGTTCCGTGCACCTTGGTGTTTAGTCATGCCGGCCACATGACCACGGAAACGTCTTCGGACAGCGCTGGCTCTTCGGCTTGGAAACGGAGATGAGCACCGCAACCCTAGAGTCGGATTCGACTGGCTTTCGAGCAAGGGAACCTTTACCTTTACCTTTAATCATTGCAATAAACGACAACCCTATTCGCTTTTAAAGGAGCCCCCCTGGCTGTTTCATGCTCCCACAGCGCGAATCTATTTTTACAATGCCCTCTTGAACAGCAGTCATGCTCAAGATGGCCTTTCTACGGAATGACAGCAGCGCGGGAGCCTTCCGGACCTCCTCAGGCAGGCCCTTCTGCAAGGTGGGAGCCTCCAAGGAGAATGAATGGGAACGGGCAGCTGCCAATCTTACCGCTGTTCAGGGTGGCACCTTTGCAAGGCCTTGCTTGGATAAGTGAAGCTGTTGCAGATGGGCATAACAGGTGAGATCCCACGGGTATGTGGGCACAAGCCCATTACAGCCTTTGTAAGTGATAACAAGGAGCTGTGGTGGCTCAAGGGGTTAAGACGCTGAACTGCAGGCTGTGGAAGGTCGGTAGTTCAGCAGTTCGAGACCTGAGTGTGCCGCATGACGGAGTGAGCTCCAGTCTCTAGTTCCAGCTCCTGCCAACCTAGCCGTTCAAAAGCAAGAAACCGCAAGTAGATAAATAGGTACCACTTCGGTGGGAAGGTAACAGCGTTCCGTGCGCCTTGGTGTTTAGTCATGCCGGCCACATCACCACGGAAACGTCTTCGGACAGCGCTGGCTCTTCGGCTTGGAAACGGAGATGAGCCCCGCAAGCCTAGAGTCGGACTTGGCTGGCTTTCGAGCAAGGGAACCTTTACCTTTAAGCGATAACAAGAACTTTGAATTGAAGTCAGTAACTGATCAGGGCCAGCCCCAGGGTTTTTTCCCCACTAGGCGAGGATACCTTCTGGCGCCGCCCCAACCCCGTATGCCCACAGATTTCTGGCGCGCCCCTTCTGGTGCGGTGCCCCCCCAAGGCCGGGGGATGCTGCCAAAGCCATCTAGGGCAGCAGCAGTTCCTCCCCGAATAAGGGCTGCAGGCTCAAGCTGCCGGTTGCCATGGCCAGGGAGGGAAGCTTCAGCGCGTGGGAAGCGAAACGCCTGTCTCTGCACGAAGATGGGAGGGGGGGGTGTCATAAAGGAGAAAAGAATGGGCGAGGGGGAAGGGTGGCCCTGAGTAGCTTTGGGCACAGATCGCAGTCTGGGTGGCCTCCAAAGACGGTTTGGAAAGAGGAGCGGAGCAAGCGCCGCTGGCGGACACCAAGCACAGAGGCAGCGCCTGGCCAAGGACAAAGGCTTGTGTGGGAGAGGCAGGCTCTGCCACCATTGAGGGGCGGGCCGGGGGCAGACCCTGGAGCCACAGCAGGTGGGCTGAGGAGGCGAGTGGCAGCCAGGCTGGAGGAGCCGTTGGTGTGGGGAGGTGCTTGCTGTTTGCCGTACTGTTCTGGCCATGCACCCTGGCTGATCTGCAACAAGGTGCCTCAACTTCTCGGCCGAGGACTTGCTGTGCCACAAGGGAAGGGAGCAGTGTTCCCTCTAAGCTGAGTTGGTGTGAGCTAGCTCACAGTTTTTTAGTCTCTGGCTCACACATTTTTGCCTCAGCTTAGGAAGGAGAGCTCCAGAGGAAACTAATTTATGCAGTAGCCAAATCGCTGGCTCACAACACTAATGCCAGGAGCTCACAAAGTAGAATTTTTGCTCACAAGACTCCACCCTTAGAGGGAACATTGGAAGGGAGGGGAAGGTGGGTGGCAGGCAGGCCAGAATGGCATCCTCGTCAAGCTGGCGCCATAGGCAACTGCCTAAATTTTGTCTATGACGGGCCGGCCCTGTAACTGATTGGTAACCAATGGAGTGTCTGCAGAATGGGTGTGACATGCATGTTCCGCCTGATGCCCAATAGTAACCAGGCTGCAGAGTTCTGCACCACGTGGAATTTCTGAGTTGTCTTTTAAGGCAGCCCAATATTGAGTGCATTACAATAGTCTGTCCTCAAGGCTAAATTAGCATGGATGGATCTACATGGCCAGGGCAGCTAAGGGGGACCCTAACAATGTAAAATAACGCTGGGTTCATTGCCCTGAAAGTGCTCTAGCTTCTCCTTTGTCAAGAAATATATTTTAATGTGCAGGTCTTGAACTTTCCAAAGAAGTACATTGGTATCCAGGTCTTGTGTTAGCTAGCTCTGCTAGCATTGGAAGAGCTCCTAGCAGACCTTGAATTCTACCAACTTGTTATATTGCAACTAGCAAGTGTATAACAGTACCAGCGTTGACAGGGAGTGGAGTAGGTCTCTCCAGCTTTATAGACTTTGCCTTGATAGGTGCAAGGACAGCTGCCAATGGGGATGCATTTTTTGCTGCTAATGTCATCAAGAATTGTTCCTGTTCAAATAGAAGGGAAACAAAAGACAGTTGCTGTTAACTTATAAACTTCTACTTCGATGGTACTTGACTCCGCATCAGCTACATGGCATCAACCCCGCGATTTCTGACAGATGTTGGAAAAATTGTGGGGGCCGTGGCACCTATATTCATTGCTGGTGGGAGTGTCCCAAGGTCCAGACCTTCTGGAGAGAAGTCAATGCCCAAATATTTTTAATTACAGGTTGCGCCCTCCAACTGCAACCTTCCTTGTTCCTCCTGAATCATTGGAGTCATCCTGCCCCCAATGGGCTTATGAAAGAGCTAATAGAATTATGTCTTGCGGCTGCTAGGAATGTTATTGCATTTCACTGGAAATCTAAGAAGACGCTGCAATTGAGCGATTGGTATCTGAAATTGTGGGACTTTTTTTTACAAGACAAAGTTTCCACTAATATCCTTCGATCTGAAAATCAACCCGTTCCTGACAATCTCCAAGAGAAATGGATGTCCCAGCACATAAAATCGACACTTCCCTGTTTGCTCTACATAAACATCAGGATTTGCTTTCTTATTTTTAACTTTAAAAAAAAATTAAAATTACTCCTGGCTAAAACAAATGATGGCAGGGATCAAACCTGCCCCCATCATGACCCAGGCTCCCTCTAAGCGGTGGAGTCCTGTGAGCAAAAATTCTACTTGGTGAGCTCCTGGCATTAAAGTTGTGAGCGAGCGATTTGGCTGCTGCATGAATTCGTTTGCTCTGGAGCCCTCCTTCCTGAGCTAAGGCAGAAATCTGTGAGCCGGAGGCTAAAAAACTGTGAGCTAGCTCACACTAACTCAGCTTAGAGGGAACACTGATCATGACTGCCATTAAAAGCTTCCCTCTGATCCCAGAAAAAGGAAGGATATTATGCACATTCTCAAAGGGGAATCTCTCATTTGTGCATCACAATTTTTAGTACTGAGCTCCAGCAATGAAAACAAGTTCTACAGCTAAGACCCCTGACTAAAGCCAACTCATATGTACCCTGGTGTATTGGGACTGACTTGAATCCCAAATACATGGGAAATGTCATAGAAATGATTTGCATTTGAAGCTGTCTCCATGTGGTTGAGATTCAAGCAGCTACCCAAACACTGAAGAATTTGAGAATGTTCAAAGTGCTTCTGTCTCCTATTACCTGTAATAGTCATGCATTCATATTAGTGTCATCTATCACCTTGTCCCAAACTTTCAAATCTTGCTTAGCATTGTTATTTACTGGTATACAAACTGAGCTGAAACAGATTTTTTCCCGAGGTCCAGCAACTGTCTTTTTTTTAAATTAAATTTAACTTATTAGCATTTACCACACCCCCTGCCATCACCGGAAGTGTGTCAGAAGGCAACACCCACCACTCAGGCTCCACTGGCCTGTTTTGGATTGCTAGCTATTAGGGGGAGGGGGAACGTGCAGATCTGTCCTTGCAGAGGAGGGAGAGCTTGTACCTGAATAAAACTTAGTCTTAAAGGTGCCACTGGACTGCTTTGGACCGGGGGGCCAGGGGGAGCTCTGCAACTTACCTGGCTGCTTCTTGCTCTGACTGAGGGCTGCTGGGAGCAGGGGGTGGGGCTTGTTGCATGTTCCCACCCCCCTGGGCTGTTTACTGCTGGAGCTCCGCTCCTGCGGGAAATGACCCCTGGTTTTAGCAATGAAGCACTGATCTTACCTCCTCCTCTGTAAAACGGGAATGCTAGCGAACTGCTTGACAGGGTCATTGAGAGGATGCAAGAGGTAAGCATTGCAAAGTACACTGCACAGTTAAAATGCTAAGGAAATAATAATAACACAAGCATGGTTGTTTACCCTTAGCGCAGTAGCAGCCATCAGTACACGGAGCTTTACATACTTTGCTCCTTTCTGGGTTGGAGCAGGTGTCAACACAGGGGTTTCCACATTCCATGTATTCCAAGTTGGTCGGGCATTCTCGGACTGCAAACCCAAACAAAGTCAGTATCTATATCAGTAACAGAGAGTAGCCTAAATTCAGATCGTAACTTCTCAAGCAAAGAAATAATTCTAAATCCAGATTTTGTTTTACTATTTTCATGTTGAAATAAGTTTATATGTCCTTCACAAGGGAGGAAAAATTCCCTAGAGCCCACTTCACCAGATGTAAGAAGTGGATCTGTATTGGTAGACATATATGTGTGTGTGTGTGTAAATATAAAATTACAAAATTAGACACATGGCTATAGAGAGAATATTGAAAGGTGCTGACCAATGTTCCCTCTAAGCTGAGTTAGTGTGAGTTAGCTCACATTATTTTAGCCTCCGGCTCACACATTTTTGTCTTAGCTCAGGAAGGAGGGCTCCAGAGCAAACTAATTTATGCAGTAGCCAAATCACTCGCTCACAACTTTAATGCCAGTAGCTCACAAAGTGGAATTTTTGCTCGCAAGACTCCACAGCTTAGAGGGAACATTGGTGTTGACTGTGCAAATTGAATTGATGATATGGAGAATCCACAGGGGCTCATGTAAAGGGAACAGGGGAGTTTTTAGAACGTTTAATAAACAGAAGTGGACGTGGAGGGCATTTCTGACAGGGACAGTTTGGCTGGAAAGAGGTGAGGAAAGCGGCCCTTGCTTCTCTTACACAACTGTGCAGGCTTATGTAGCTATATACGTTATATACATGTAGATACATATGTTATATAAATATGAGGTTTATAAACTAATGAATGATGTGAAGAAAATGAAGGGTGAGATTCTTTTTCCTGCCTCACCTCCAGAGTTCACCTGTCGTGAACTTGATCGGCCGTGGGTTCCAAATAACCAAAATGAAGTGTTGAACATCACATAATTAACTGATTGAATCAATGAGACATGACATCTTTCATGGATAATGTTTATGATGTTTTTGTTTTAATGGCTCGCGTTCTAATACGGTGGTTTTTAAGGCTACGCCTCCTCAAGCAGAACAGCTCAAGGAATAGGCACTATAGAAGTATTCTGAATAAACAAATATATGATCTGCTAAGGATCTATACTTTCATAATTAACTAATTGAATCAATGAGACATGACATCTTTTATGGATAATGTTTATGATGTTTTTGTTTTAATGGCTCGCGTTCTAATACGGTGGTTTTTAGTGCTAAGCCTCTTCAAGCAGAACAGCTCAAGGAACAGGCACTATAGAAGTATTCTGAATAAACAAATATATGATCTGCTAAGGATCTATACTTTCAACCTGATCAGGAGCACAGGTGGGGTCATTCTGGAAATTGTTTCCAGGGTAATTTCAGTTCTCCGATTTGTTCCTGCTCTCCTGCTTCCTTCCTCCCCCACCCCCTTTAAAGAGGCAGCAGCAGAAGAGAAGAGAAGAGAAGAGAAGAGAAGAGAAGAGAAGAGAAGAGAAGAGAAGAGAAGAGAAGAGAAGAGAAGAGAAGAGAAGAGAAGAGAAGAGAAGAGAAGAGAAGAGAAGAGAAGAGAAGAGAAGAGAAGAGAAGAGAAGAGAAGAGAAGAGAAGAGAAGAGAAGAGAAGAGAAGAGAAGAGAAGAGAAGAGAAGAGAAGAGAAGAGAAGAGAAGAGAAGAGAAGAGAAGAGAAGAGAAGAGAAGAGAAGAGAAGAGAAGAGAAGAGAAGAGAAGAGAAGAGAAGAGAAGAGAAGAGAAGAGAAGAGAAGAGAAGAGAAGAGAAGAGAAGAGAAGAGAAGAGAAGAGAAGAGAAGAGAAGAGAAGAGAAGAGAAGAGAAGAGAAGAGAAGAGAAGAGAAGAGAAGAGAAGAGAAGAGAAGAGAAGAGAAGAGAAGAGAAGAGAGAGCTGGAGATAGAAAGACTAGACTGTCTTTCTAAAGTTAGTGCAGGGGTGGGAAATCAACACAATCAGGAGACTTGGTTCACCAGCCTCCTCTCCCTGGAGGATAAAACCGACTTTTCACATCGCCCCAATTTTTCTTCCCCCATAAAGCACCTCCATATTGTTATGAGTTTACTTACACACACCATACTTCATTGCCCCCTCTACAGGGATATCCAATCTCGTTTTATTATTCCACTTCTAGAGGGTAAGAGCTGGCACTCTGATGACTCTATTGTTGCTACTCTTGGCTCATTTAAAGGATGCTGAGCCTGGAAGATAGTAGGGCAAAACTCCTATCCATGATGTTTTGTGCTTTCAGGAAATGCATGTGTTTACAAGGTCTGACAATTCAGTCATTATAGGTTTAACTTGTTTGCCTAGTATTGCTATTGTTTAGACTGACCTGGAAGGGATATTTGGCAGTAAGCCAATGGGGAATTAGCCCGTGAAAAGTAACTTCTGTTGTGATAAGTGATTGGTTTTTTTGTTTCAGGTGACTTCCTTTCTAGGGGTCGAGAAGAAGGACAGATTCTCCTTTATCTCGGTGTTAGTGTTGACTATAGACAGCTTAGAAAATGTAGCTGTTAGTGTTATGTTTATTTGTAGTTATCCCGTGTACCTTTTACCCTTAGAAATAAAGGTTTTTAAAGGCAAAGAAATCTCTTCTTTCCAATAGAGCAAGATCCATTGATAGTCTGAGTATTAAACACTTTTGACTATTTTACAACATTCTAGAGGGTAAGAGCTGGCACTCTGATGACTCAATTGTTCACTTTATTCTCTTTAATTCTAATTGCGAAATAATGGAGGCTGTTGCAACATTTTTATATTATGCAATCAGAAGACGAGGCTTGAATAGCCAAGTGTGACTATCTTAGTATTTTCCCGTATTTCCATGATGTTTTGTGCTTTCATGCCAATAAAGGTTTTGTGTGTGTGTGTGTGTGTGTGTGTTTTATGAGTTTACTTTTTAAAACATTAGTAAAAATACTTTTAAAGTATGTATTTCAGTTTAGTACTTTTTGTGTGGGGCTGATGCCTCACTTTATTCAATGGGCCTCATTCTCACCTAACTTGTGTTTCATTTGTATCTAACTGATAGTGCAATTAGCATTCTGGCTAGGGGCCATGGCTGAGCCTCTAATTCGGCTTACTTCTGCTTGTTTCTTTTTTGTTTGTTTGCACCATATCTTGTATCAATCTACACACGGTAAATCATAAGTTAAGTAAAATCGATCAGGGTCATATGGGAGGATTGGGGTGGATTTCTTGTCTGAGGGCCTATCGTAGCTCATGGCAGCCCTGTTAACTCTATACAAGATAGCATGAATTCAATTTAGTTTGTCATATGAAAAATTTGCTAATACACTTCAGTGGTTGGAGAAGTCATCAACAGCTCCAGAAACAATAAATGCATTTAGGCAATAATTGTAATCTTTCTTAATGTTCTGATAAAACCTATGCTCTACGCTCTAGTAATCCACATCTCCTGGTGGTCCCTGGCCCAAAAGATGTCCGTTTAGCCTCGACCAGGGCCAGGGCCTTTTCTGCCCTGGCCCCCACCTGGTGGAACATGCTCCCCATCAAGATCAGGGCTCTGCGGGATCATACTCAGTTCTGCAGGGCCTGCAAGATGGAGCTCTTCCGCCAGGCTTTTGGTTGAGGAAGCGGCCATCTGTCAGGTTCCACAGCAAGTAACTCTCCACACACGTTTCCTAAGAAGCATTATGCTTTATTAGAGTACAAAACTGGTACCATATCCACAGGATTATTGTTAGGAATGACTATGGGGCGGAAACATCCCTACATATAGCAGGACGAGGCAAATGGCTAAGCAAATGAACCCCGAGCATGCGCGGGAATTCTCCCGGCGGGAGATTACATAATGAGCAGGAGACTCGCAGGGTCTCATGAGAGCAGTAAGATTCACACCCGAAGTGGAATGCAAGCCCTCCCTTCCTCACAAGGCCAGACAGATAACGCAGTCTGGCAGAGCTGGCTCCCATGGTCTCCCAAGCAATGTTTACTGCAAGCAGCTGAGCTGCGAGCAAGTGGGAACAGGGAGGGAAACAAGTAAAACATGGCAGCTAGCTGACAGCGTCCACATATGGCCTCCCCGAGCTTGCTGTCTCCTACCTATTGGCCACCCATCTGCCATCAACCGGCCATAACAATCAGTATGAATGGGTCAGAATTGGCACCAGCAGCTATAACTACTGGTTTTACATGCTTATAATGTAATGTTTTAAACCTTATTGTATTATTTGGGATAACGTGACCTGCCCTGAGCCCACTCACGAGATGGGCGGGGTACAAATACAATAAATAAATAAATAAATAAAATGTTGAAAGCAAGTCAGAGACAACTTGACTGAATGAATGCCACACTCAGGGATCCTACAGCATGGTAGATGGTGCTTGTGACCAAGGCTCCCTCTAAGCTATGGAGTCCTGTGAGCAAAAGTTCTACTTGGTGAGCTCCTGGCATTAAAGTTGTGAGCGAGCGATTTGGCTGTTCCATGAATCAGTTTGCTCTGGAGCCCTCCTTCCTGAGCTAAGACAAAAAACTGTGAGCCCGAGGCTAAAGTACTGTGAGCTAGCTCACGCTAACTCAGCTTAGAGGGAACACTGCTTGTGACGTCGGCAGAGTTTTCCTACCCTCACTTACTTACAGCAAAGCTGCTTCGATCTCCATTTTCCAGGGTCTCCCCCCCGGAGGATGCAGTCCCGGGAACATTGGCCGAGAGTGCTGCATACACAGCTTGCAATCAGGTCTGGACGAGAAGACTTCTGTGTACAGGCACACATATCATCAATGCAAGCAGCTACATAATAATCAGGGTCGACCACTTTAGAGCAATTTCCAAAGCGGGACAGGGCTTCCTTGCAATTCGATTTCTGAGGGAGAGGGAGAGAGAGAGAGATCTGAGTACCTCATATTATTTTAGGTTTACAGTATACTTTTTCACACACAAATCGGTTAGCTTCATTGAGTTTGGTGCCATTCTGGCTTCCTGCTTTTGTTCTTCACAGTTGTTGCTGAAGAAAGAGCAGAGGAAAAGAGCTGCATAGTCATCCTAATTCCTTTCAGTAGAGGAGAAAGCTCCACATCTGCATTGTTTTGCACACACAAAGTCAATGGGTGATTCCGCACTAGACCTTAAGTCCTGGTTCAACCTTGTCCCCGAACTTACATTCTACACTACACTCGAGTTTACCCCTGTAATTATCTCGGGGTATTTTTTGTTTCCATGTTACATTGAGTTCACCCCAGTTTCACTGTTATAACCAGGAATAAACAGGGGTCATATCCTGCAGGAGCACACAGGAGCAGAGCTCCGGCAGTAAAGAGCACAGGGGGTGGGCACATGCAACAAGCTCCACCCCCTGCTCCCAGCAGCCCCAGCCCATGAGGCGCAAGAAGCAGGCAGGTAAGTTGCAGTGGGTGTTGCCTTCTGACACACTTCCGGTGATGTCAGGGGGTGTGGCATATGCAAATAAGTTATCCTAATGAGTTATGCTCATGAGCTCCTGCATCTCTTTTTCTACCAAATGACCTCTGGGAATAAATGCAAGGTCTTGTGTCGCAAGTTGAACTCTGATAAAACCAGGGATGAAATCCAAGTGCAGAAAGGACCAATGTCTCCACTAAAGTAAATAGGGAATAATCAGGAGCAGGGTAAGTTACCTTGTACTGTGGAGCTCTTGCATGCAGTGACCAAATGGAAAGGAGGACATTTACATGCCTTTACTAGTCCAGGAGAAGCAGGATTTTTTGGGGGGGGGGGGACCCTGCACCTTCGGAGATGTCCTTTTCTATACATTGATACCACCACCACCCAGCCAACCCACATTAGTCAAAAATTTGGTGTCCCCAACTTCCCTTGAGAAACTTGGACCTTTGTATAACCTGGTTAGACTCTCAGGTGCGCACCCAAATTATAAGCAAGAAATGTCAATCTATGCAAACCTTTCCTAGAAACAAAATGAAACAAAAAAAATGTCCATTGCAAAATTGTGCTATATTAAATCGGTTGTGAATTTACGTGATGGCAGCTGTTACCCAGCATCTGAAGAAGTAGGCCATATCATACAAAAGTTTGTGCTAAAATTAACTGCCCGTAATTAAAAATATTAGCAGGCTCTAACACTGAGTATCTCTAACCAAAGCCTACTACTTTGTATCTTATGGGGTTGGACTTGACATTAAAACAGGTACTATGGCTGAACTCTGCCTCAAAAATATCCTATTGAAAAGCATCCTATTGAATTTATTAGACTTTATCTTGCATTTTGTGTCTTGGTATGTTGTTTTCTGATAGTACACTGGTAGCAAGTAATCATGAGAAGAACTCTTTGTTGCACAGACAACCAAGGCAGTGACATACGTATTTACTCTTGCATTCCTTCTTCCAACGAGAGGCATATTTGCTGTTCCCACCATCTTTATTTTCCTCAGGTACATCTGGGCACTCCTCTGTTGGCTCTTCTACTTTGTGTAGGTTGCCGTATTGCCGTGGGAGTAGATGGTAGCCTGCAAAACCCCATGAGTATTAGAAATGAATGGCTGCTGGTGGAGAGTGCCATCAAATCACCACTAACTCATGGCAACCCAGTAGTAGGGCCCAGGGCTATTTTTTGACAGGAACGCACAGGAGTGGAGTTCCAGCTGGCTTCAGAGTTGGCCACGCCCACTACAGCCAAAATCTCTGCATGCATGGCTACAGAGGGAAGGCCTGGAGAGCGACCTCCCCCAGCGACTCTGAGGCAGGTGGGCTGGGGTCCCCCTGGAAGGATCACCTTCCCTGGCCTGTCCAAGGGCTGGCTTGCCCGGGCTCCCTGCAGCCACAGGGCACCCAGGCAAGCCAAGGGAAGGCAGTTTAAACTGCCTCCCCTCCCCTCCAAGTACCGCCTTGCGAGCTGCACTGTCAGGGGTGTGGCCTAATATGCTAATGAGTTTCTGGTGTTGGGTGTGGCCTATCATGCTAATGTGGCCTATTATGCTAATGAGTTCCTGCTGGGAGTTTTCTACAAAAAAAAGCCCGGGTAGGGCCTGTAATAAAAGCCCCCTTCATCTCAGTTTCCCAGATGAGAAAACACTTTGCTGTGAATGGTGCATCGTTTTGAGTCCCTTCAAACATTAAGAATTCACATCATTAATTTAAATAGAAAGGGTTTGTAAACAGAGAAGTGTTGCAAATAAATATTTGGTGTGGATTACAGTATGCACATTTTCCTCTACTGAAAGAGAATGAGAAAGAAAAGATATGTCCAATAAGCGGGTTAATAAGCCTGTTCTAATGGAACGATTGTTTAGAATCCTCGCAATACCAGCACGGAAATTTTACTGCCGGTGAAATACGCATACTGAGCGAGAGGCTTTGTCTTGCTGTGGCAACCAACCTGCTCAACAAACATTCAAGAATCATAATTCAGTGGAGATGAACTGAACACGATTTCCTGGTTGTGCTTAGCAAAAGTTTGACACATAATGCACACCAAACAGATAAAAAGGTAGTTTCATGATCAACCCTGAATGCATGTGAGAAAGCCACTGGTACACGGCTGATAACATTTTGGATTGGAAATGGTGCAGAGACAGACCAAGTTTTACAATTTGGCTGTAAATCTCACTGAGTGATCTTGTGCCAGTTGTTGTCTCTGTTGCAAAAACTGGGGGGGGGGGGGGGAAGGGAAAAACTCAACCCAAGATAACACTGCGAACCAGAAGGGTTAAAATGACCTTATATATTATAAAAATACAAAAATTATTAGGGTGTACACATATTAAAATATATTCGGGTTAAAAAAATTCAAGTATCAGACTAATAAAAGCATATCAATTATTAATACACATGATGGGTTAACACTTTCCAACTGAAGACCAAACGCGTTTCGGCCTCAAAGGGCCTTCCTAACCCGAATATATTTTAATATGTGTACACCCTAATAAATGTTGTCTCTGTTGCACCATGATAAATTGGGATAACTGCCATATTTGCTGTCCTGAGATATTTGGGGGAAGAGCAGGATACCAGTAAATTGATTACAAGAATACTATAAAGAGATATACATGAAGACCGTCATACCATTCAACATCATATCATTCTTTTCATTGCCATCATAGTTCCCGCAGAGACCACACGTTTTCTGCCTGTATGTATCTTCTAGATCTAGCTAAAAAAGAAGAAGCAGAAAAAAGAAACATTCTAAGAAGATTCGTTTTCAAGTAGAGAGGATTAGAAGCATAGCTGCATTTTTGTTGTTGTTCAGTCGCACAGTCGAGCCCAACTCTTCGCGACCCCATGGACAAGATCACGCCAGGCCCTCCTGTCTTCCGCCGTCCTCTGAAGTTGGCTCAATTTCATGCTCGTTGCATCTATGACACTGTCCAACCATATCGTCCTTTGCCGTCCCCGTCTAAAGTCTAAGCTTGGAGTGATGATATTCTCCAGAACTTCAACGTGAATCTACAAAACTATAAAAGTAAGAGCATCAAACACAAGATGGTTTTTTTCCCCCTTTACATTTCTTTTCAAATATGGAATTAATACTGCTTTTATTTATCATTCAGGCAAGAAAATATTTCTCAGAGAATAAAAACCTGTACCATGCTGAGGCCACAGTCAGGTCAATGGGTTTGACCAGACTTAATTTGAATTGTGATCTCACGATCCAGATGTAGAAAAGCAAACGCAGAGTCTTCATTTAAAATAATGCTGCCATAGTATTGTCAGTCTCAGCTGCGAGGCCAAAGATAGCTCTCCAGAGGGCACAAATGAACTAGTAATATGAATCTGCGTGCTATCAAGTTGCAACTGACCTATGGCGACCTCAGCAAGGGGCTTTCAAGGCAAGTGAGAAGCAGAGGGGGACTGACATGGCCTTCCTCTGCAGAGAGTTTCCTAGTAGTCCCCCATCCAAGTACTAACTCTTCTTAGGTTCCCAGATCTGATTAGATTAGGCTATATCATACCATTCCACATTCCGGATTAGTAATACAGTATTATCATCATCATCATCACATTATCATCATTATTTCAATTTATTAATCACCCTATCCCAGCTTATGCCAGGCTCTGGGTGACATACAAGAAGAAGAAGGAGAAGGAGAAGGAGTTTATACCCTGCCCTTCACTACCCGAAGGTGTGTCAGAGCGGATTACAAACTCCTTCCCCTTCCCCTCCCCACAACAGACACCCTGTGAGGTAGAAGAAGAAGAGAATATTGGATTTATACCCCGCCCTTCACTACCCAGAGGAGTCTCAGAGCGGCTTACAAACTCCTTTCTCTTCCCCTCCCCACAACAGACACCCTGTGAGGTAAAAGAAGAAGAAGAGATTGGATTGATACCCCGCCCTTCACTACCCAAGGGAGTCTCTCAGAGCGGCTGACAAACTCCTTTCCCTTCCCTTCCCCACAACAGACACCCTGTGAGGTAGGTGGGGCTGAGAGAGTTCTTGATAGAAACTGCTCTTTTTTCAAGAACAGCTCTTATCAGAGCTACGGCTTGCCCAAGGTCACCCAGCCAGGTGCAAGTGGAGGAGTGGGGAATCAAGCCCGGTTCTCCCAGATCAGAGTCCGTGCACTTCACCACTACACCAAACTGGCTCTCAAAGAGGCACAATGCCATAAAATAGAATACAAATTTTAAAATCCAATACCATTAATAAGAATAAAACCAGACTAAAATCCCAGATGACGATCTATAGTTTTGTATTCCCTTTCTGCTACCTCATAGCCTATATTTGTTCATAATACAGCTAGGAAAGTACAGGGTGCAAAGACTAGCTGCCCATCACATCTTAGCAGTACGAAAACTCGCTGAAATAAGTCCAACTAACTGGAGCATCATACTAGTAGAGTGTCCCTCCAATCCCACTTGAGAATCAGGCCTAACGTGGAGGTGACTCGGAAGTAAGCACTTATGTCTTCTATTCGAACACTCTTCAAACTGAAGGGTAGAATAATCCTAAAAACGAAAGAAACAAGAAAGAAAAATTACAAAACAAAACAGATCAGTCATTTTTTTGCCGAAAGAAACGCAACAGTGACTTATTAATTAAGTCTCTGACCAGTATTTCACAATTTATTCACAAATGCTGGCCATTTATCCACAGTCTCTGAAAGGGTGAGTGCCAGGCTAAAAGCCCTAAAGTAGAGGGAAGAGACTGACTGGCGGGACTTACAGTACAAACGGATTTACAGTTACATTCCTTCAACCCTATTAACTTCAATAGATTCAGAAGGGTATAACCGCTTAGGACGATTCTGGTCCTCCATGCATTCTTTTCTCAATGCTCAGACAAGGTGGCTGTCAGGTGTACTCCTTCCCAAAGTGCATGCAGCATTCTGGGCCTGTATGCATCCAGGAGTTGTGGTAGGTAGGAGTAAGGAGACAACTGAGTGGATATTTACTATACAATCTGCATTGGTGGAAGAGTTTCATAGGTAAACGGTAAAGGTAAAGGCTTCCCTTGCTCGAAAGCCAGTCGAATATGACTCTAGGGGGCCATACTCATCTCCGTTTCCAATCTGAAGAGCCAGCACTGTCTGCAGACGTTTCCGTGGTCATGTGGCCGGCATGACTAAATGCCGAGGTGCACGGAACGCTGTGACCTCCCCACCGAAGCGGTACCTATTTATCTACTTGCAATTTCTTGCTTTCAAACTGCTAGGTAGGCAGGAGCTGGGGCCAGAGACGGGAGCTCACTCCGTCACATGGCACTAGGGTCTTGAACTGCTACAGGTATTAAATTGGTGAGTCTTTATTTAAGACCACTGAAATCGACTCATTAGGCAACTGGGCTGAATAACACTATAGCAAGGCAGGGGAACATTTGGCAGGCAAGGTTTCTCCGATCACACTGCTCCAATAAAAGAAGAAGCCATACCTATTAACATTCTTGCTGATGCACTAAAATTGTCACGGGTCATTTCCTGCAGGAGCGCACAGGAGCAGAGCTCCGGCAGTAAGGAGCCCAGGCGGTGGGCACATGCAACAAGCCCCTACCCTGCTTCCAGCAGCCCTCAGTTGGGCCACGAGGAGCAAGAAGCAGCCAGGTAAATTGCAGAGCCCCCCCTGGCCCACCTTCAGGTACAAGCTCTCCCTCCTCTGTGAGGGCAGATCTGCACATTCCCCCCACCCCCAACAGCTAGCAATCCAAAACAGTCCAGTGGAGCCTGAGTGGTGGGTGTTGTCTTCTACACTTCTGGTGATGTCAGGAGGTGTGGCATATGCAAATAAGTTATGCTAATAAGTTATGCTAATGAGCTCCTGCACCTCTTTTTCTACAAAATGACTCCTGACAATTGTTGTACAGGGTCCCCTTCAGTCTGAGAAACAGGAACCCTCTATGAGACAAACATTTTTCCTACCTAGAAATGCAGTTAAATTAAATGATTAATCCTGTTCATTTCCTTGAACGCATATTGATAGAAGTGCGTGTAACTGTTTAATGAGGCATGCTTTTATTTGGAAAGGTACATAGCATTCAAAGTTCTGTTTTCCCAGCTGAACATGAGGAACATTTTTTTTTATTTTGATATATACTGGGATTTGATTCTTCTTTCTGATCTCTCTCAAAAAGCAAATACCCACCACATCTCCACCTTAATTATTAGAAAAGGCTGAACCGATGCAGGCACTATCATGATGAGATCTTGTGTACTTTAGTTTGGAAAGGCAGCTGGGTATCCAAGGAATTAATGAATAACAGTAGCCCCACCCCCAAAGGGTTTCTGAATATCTACTTGTCAAGCCAGAAGAGGAACAGTATTTAAATATGAGGCTGATAATATAATACATAGTAATTAAGTGTATTAAGTGTCTATACTGAGCTAGAGCCAAACAGAAATTTCATGAGGGGTAAGAGAAATACAGTTGGGGGAAGTGTTCCTCTAAGCTGAGTAGTGTGAGCTAGCTCACAGTTTTTTAGCCTCTGGCTCACACATTTTTGTATTGGCTCAGGAAGGAGGGCTTCAGAGCAAACTAGTTTATCCAGCAGCCAAATCGCTCGCTCACAACTTTAATGCCAGTAGCTCACAAAGTAGAATTTTTGCTCACAAGACTCCACAGCTTAGAGGGAACATTGGGGGGTAGGGCTTACTTTACACTGGGGGCACTAATTTCCATTTAGAAAAGGTGCAAATCCCTGGGTTGTGGATCTGTGTAGATACTTCTTACCCTGGGAAGTAAAAGAAACTTCCTAAGTCTGCAAAAATGTTCCTTATACTCCATTTAATAATTTGACAGAAACCACCTTCATAGCAAAAATCGTGTGTCCAGGGGAAAAATGACTCCATCGACATGTATTATCACCTGTCTCAGCAACACTTTTCCAATGCTTTTTTGGTATCCATTGTATAGCCATTGGGCGAGTTCAAACTGGCAGTTTGAAGCGGGAGAGAGTTGTGGCAAAAAAGACCCGGAACAAACTGTTCCGGGTTTTCCCATTCACACTGCAGCGACTGATGCGGGAGCATACCGGGAGGAGGCGCAAGGGACTGTTCACACTGTTGGCCCAGAGGCGCAGCTGTAAGGCGCGGCTTTCTTTTTGGTAATCTGGAGATATGTGATTATGTGCATAAGCGCATAAGCACACAAGAAAAACCGTGGCTTTCAGTGTTCACACTTTGTTGGTGCGGGATGGACATGGGATAATCGCGCTTTCCAGGGTTTGATACACTTTCTCCTGATATCTTTTAAACTTGGGAGGGAAGCATTACGATATGGGTTGAGTACGGCTGGGGAACGCCGGACAGATGTGCCTGTGTGAACAGCCCTTTTAATCCGGTTGTGGAACATTTCTGAAACGTGCCTATATCGAGGCAAACTGCCAGTCTGAACTCGGCCATAGATTGTTTTTTGTAATTTTTTCACAACTACTTTAAAATAAACTTAACCTGATGTATTGTATGGAAATGACATGTGTTTCATACTGTGAACTACAGTATTGAACCCAGGTGGCCGGGAAGTCATCCTCTGGACCACGCCTGGACCTATTGCTAGAAGCTCAACAAGTGCTGAAATTGACCTTTCTTTCCTTGAGACCCTGATGTCAGTCAGAACAGATCGTAATGAGCTAGACAGACCGCCTGACTCAATATAAGGCAGTTTCATATCTTCTTAAGAAAACAGAACATCATAAAAAGATTTTGA